TTGATGTGGGTACTTAAATGAAAGGTCTCGATGAGTGTAATGTCGGGGTGAGCTTATATCTTTAAAAATGAATATAATTAAGAAATGACCTTGTATCTTGTGAACTATTGACATTTTTAAAGATATAAGCTCATCCCGACATTACACTCATCGAGACCTTTCATTTGAGTACCCACATCAATTTTTTCATATATTTATATATGTTATATATATGTATATATGAAAAATATATTAAAATGCATGTGGGTACTCAAATGAAAACTCTTGATGAGTGTAACATCGGGATGAGCTTATATCTTAAAAAACGTCAATAGTTAAAAAAAGTACAGTGCAATTTAACAAAATTCATTATTTAATAACGCAAAATTTTATTTATTTATAGTTCACAAGTCCCGGCAGTCGCATAGTGACTGCAAGATTGCTAGCAATTACTCACCTTACAAAGCCCTATAATAGCAGCGGCCAATGTAACCATCTTTAATTTCGGCGGTATAACGACGTAACTCTGAATAACACTTTGAGGTACAATTAAATCTTCATTAATGTCACTCATATTACCAGTTGAATTTTTTAAATTATCTGCAGCGGCGTCGATAAGTACCGGATTGGTCATAGTGAGCCCGGCGAGTTTTTCAACCGCGTTCGTCAAAGTTGCCGATAACAAAATAATCTGACGTCTACCTTCTTCGACAGTCGTACTTTTATTTTCCTCATTACTGATATCGTTGGATTTATTTTTTTCTTTATTTAATTTTTTGGCTTTTTGTTTTTTAACAGCCAAGTCCTCAGAATCATTGTCACTATCTGTGGCTGAATGATACTCTTTATTTTCTTCTTCTTCTTCATCCTCCTCCTCTTCTTCTTTTTCTTCCTCAACACATTGTACTGCGGGTTCTTGCTCAATTTCATCATCAAATTTCTTAACGGAGTTCTGACGAAGTAACTTCATCGGATCATACCCAGAGCTCTCGTTCGACTGTGATACATTTAACGCAGACACAATTCTAAAAAAAAATTAATTAACTTATTAAATATATTTAACGGTGTAATAAAGTAATTTATCAAAATGAATTGTAAAATTATCGGCTGTAATAATTAAGTGTGTCGTATTAAAAGACCACCTACTCGGATATATCTTTCTCGTAACCCATGTCGAGCATGCGATCAGCTTCATCCAACACCAAACACTTGACATCATTTACTCTCAAGGCTTCAGTGTTCTTTATGTGATCCAATAATCTACCTGGTGTAGCGACTAAAATAGTACAACCACGCCTCAATCTAGCCTTCTCAGCTTTTCTCTTCTCTCCACCAACCAAGTATCCCGGTACAATCCACGTGAAAGGCTAAAAAAAAAAATAAATTTTTTATTTTTTTGTACCCCTAATACCCACAAAAAAAATTTCTTTATCAATTACCAATCAAACCCTTACCCTAATTAGTTTTATAAAGCACTCGTAAGTCTGGAGAGCTAATTCACGGGTCGGTACGACTACTAAAGCCTTTAGTCCGTCATTTCGCGATAATTTCGGTCTTATTTTCTGCAATGACTCAACAATCGGCAGTGCGTAGGCTAAAGTTTTACCGGAACCTGTTTGAGATCTAACTAAAATGTCCTTTCCAGATAAAATTTTAGGGATTGATTTTTGCTGGACTATTGTAGCGTGAAAAATTTCCATATTTTTCTCTAAATTCGATACCTAAAAATTAAAAAAAAATTATTACTCTAGTCAAGTCTAAATTCTTTTATAATTAATTTAAATCAGGATGTTGTAGACCAAAATAATGTTATATTTTTTATTTAAAATTTTACAATGTAAAAAGACATAGTCCTTAATTTACAAAAAATTACTGCGCATGACACTTTTAATATACAAAAAATTTTATTTTATTTTTATATTTAGAGTCTGTAATAAATAAAATGAACCATATCTAATTAAATATATTAAAAATCTCGTTAACAAAAAAAAAATTTTCTTCTATTATTTTCTAGTTAATATTGACAAGTAACAACATCCTGATTTAAATTAATTATTATTTAAATATTTTTGGTAATAAAATAATAGAGTAAAAAGTAATAATAATAACTAACTTCATGTGGATGAATACCAAGTTCAGCGAATGTGACTTTACTGAAAACTGGTTCATTAACCGGCTTAACAAGTCTTTGCCCAATTTTTGGAATATCTGGATTATTTCCAAACAGCGAGGATATTTTTCCAGACGGTTTGTTATTATAAACTCGTTCTTTATCGTATTTTTTTTCATTATTATTTTTAGCTCTTGAGTTATCGCCAAATCTTTTGTTTTTAAAATTCGATCTGTCATCAGTAAAATTTTTTACGGGCAACTCTTCAGTTTTTTTCTCTCGCGATTCGTCGGTAACAGTAGAATTCAGTAACAAATTAGAATCTGATTTAGATTTTTTGTTAAAAGTATCAGCTACTTTACTAGATTTATCATCTGATTTTGTGTTGTAAATATCAGCCAAAGATTTACTAGCCTTGTCAACTTTCGGCTTAGCTAAAATTGTTTTTAAACCAGTCGACGAAGGTTTTACAAAAGTAATAAGTTCACTACTTTTATTTTCTTCTTTATCTTTACTTTTAGTTTCTTCTTTATTTTTATTTTTATTTTTTAAAATTCCAGGTAACTTTACATTAGAATCTGCATTTGTCGCAGCAAGTTTAGTTACACGGTTTCGATTCTGAGCAACAATTGCCGCCAATGATTTTTGCTTAACTCTTTTTTTACTATCTTCATTTTTATTAGTTACTTTTTTTTCTTCAATTGATTTTTTAGTAGTATTTTTATTTGAGCCCTGTTTTAATTTTAAGACGATTAATTAAATAATTAAAAAATAATAAATAAATTAAGTACAATTTTTTGTGAAATGATACTAAAAATAATATGATTAAAATTGATGAAAATTGAATTAGCCGACATGTAAAAATTTTTTGTAATTTATTTTATTGAAGAACAATTAAAAGAAAAAATTTCACATATAGAAAATTTCAAAAATTATGCGTGCAATTTTATAAAAATATTTTTTTAGTTTTAATTTAATTAATAAAAAAAAGTCAACAATTGTTGGCTAATTTTAGTATCATTTAAAATTGATAGAATCAGTATAATAAAAAATTAAATAAAAAAAAATATTAAAACAATATATTTTCTTATTAATAAATTAATCCTAAAATTAACAATTATCAGACAGATTTTTAAATTTTTCTATCTAAATTATTAATAAAAAAAAAAAAAATTTACTCCAAAAATTTCCCACGTGAAAATTAAAAATAAATGACATTAAAGTCTGCTGTCATCTAACAATTTTTTGATTTTATTTAATAAAGATAATTGTTTTTAAAAAATTGCATTTTAAAATTTTTTTAATTTCTACATGTCAATTTATTTCCTAATTTTTTTGTGCACTAATTTAATTCTTTAAAAAATTCTAAAAATAAATATCTACTTCAATTTTCATTAAAAATAATTACAAATGCCAATTCTAAAAAATACTTTTTTTTATATTAATTAATTTGTAGTTAAAACTCGAAAAATTATAAAATTTTTCTTATTTTTAGTATAATAATAAAATAATCAATAAACATCTGTTACTATTAATACTATCAATCAGCTGTAAATTTTTAAACCATTAAATTAATTTATAAACTAAAAAACTTTTCAATTTTTTTCAAATAACATTCATAATTTTTTACTAATAAAACATTATTTATTTAAAAAAAATTTTCAGTATCACAATGTATAACCTCCAAAACTTACCTTCCGCGCCTCTGTCTTCGGCGAAGAGGCCGAAGAAATATTTAACATAAGACTCATATCTCCGAGTGTCATTTAATAAATTTCACTAATTTTAAACTTTTAAACACTCAATAAAAATTAAAACAACTATAAAAACACCACAACAACAAATAAATTCCGTGCACGTGGTAATCACGACCAGGCACTGACTGACATCAGCTGTGCCTGCGCATGCGCGCTTAAATCCCAGTTCGCTCCGCAATTCAAACTGCAAAAAAAATGATAACATTTATTAATAAATTCATGAATTATTTATACAAATAATAACACTTAATAAAATCCAGATAATTCGAGATGACAGAGTATAGCAAATAAAATCACGACAATAATTAATTATATTTTTATAACCGAGTACAGGTGTTTTGTTGTAAAAACAATCTCACAATAAAATATTTAATAAAAGAAAAAAAAATTAACTTGTTAATTAAAGAACATTTTTTCAAGGCAGTAAATATAAATATTTAGATAAAAGTCGATAAATAAAATAAATATAAACGATAATACCTGTGCTGTGTATTTTAAACATTAAACTGTAGATCCATTATATTATTAAACTTGCGTGTGGCCCATGTGGTATTTACTTTTCTTACTATAATCATTATCATCGCTCAGTGTCCTCGAAATCAGTCGCATTGAATAGAATAAAAGTTTGTCATTCGTTTAACAGTTGTCTTGCGGCGTGTAATTAATTTAAATACACTGTCATACTGTCAGTTATTATATTTTCATAGAGTTTATATTTTTCTTCATGCTCTGCAACAAGTGAAATTTATTATTAGTTTTTTTTTATTTTACTAACTTGGATTTAATTATTATATAGTCACATAAATAAATATTTTTTTAATAAAATAAAAATGAATAGTTTGTGTTGTGTTAGTTTAACGATCGCTGCGAGAATAATTGCGGCATTAGGATTGGTGAGATTATTTTTTTCATTCAGTTACATTAGTATGAAAGTTAAGTTAGCCGACATCTAAAAATTTTTAGAATTTTTTTTATTGAAAAAATGATTAAAAAAAAAATTTTTTAAATAATTTCATTTTTAAAAAACTTGAAAAACTTTAAGTGCAATTTTTTAAAAATATTTTTTTCGTTCTAATTTAATGAATAAAAAAAATCATAAAATTAAAAACGTCGGCTAACTTTAGTATTATTACATTAAATTTAATTAACCTTATTTATTTACAATTATTATCTGAATTTTCTTCTTTTAGTCAATTTCAATTCTTATGATAAATGTGGTAATGAGCGCATTTTTTGTAAAAGTCCAACCTGATGACTTTTACTCGACTATTAAAACTTGGAAAATTTTAGGACTAAACTGGACGCAGTATATTAAAAAGTTTAATTTATCTAACGAAGGTAATTTTATTTTTTTGTTATTAATTATTAGTGTGTTATAAAAGTAATTAACCTTTGCTTTTCTGTCCGTAAAAAAATTCTCAGATTTTTTGCAATCGTTTATTTTTATCTGCGCAGCTGTGAATTGATGGGAAAATTTTATTCGTCCTTGTAAACTTAATAATTTTAAAGTTAAATAGCTTCTAAAGTATGAATAATATTTATGTATATTTTAATCTAACTTTTTTTTAAACGTTTTATTTTTATAACTTGTAATTAGTCTATTATCAGTATTTATTTTACTTGATTATATATTATCACAAAAAAAAAAAATTATCAAAAAGGTCAATAAATTTTCATCAATATTTTATTCTATTAATAAATTCTAATTTTTTAAATAAAAAAAAACTACCGACAAATTTTTTATCTAAAATAATATTTTATCTAAAAATTATTTCTTATTGAAAAACGTCAGTAATTTCTATTAATATATCATCAATTGATCGTTAAATAGATAAGATATATGTGAAAAGAATTTCTAGTAATATCTTTTATAAAAAAAAATATCTTAATTTACTAAAATATTTTTCAGCTCAAGCTGTTTTCTTCTGTTTCCTGAGTTATGCATTTTTATTATTGATATCTTCCACCTTACTCGCCTTCGCAACAATAGTAGTAAGTAATAAACTATTTACTTGCAAATATCCTGTAAAAATATGCAATGAAATAAATATTATTATTATTTTACAATTTTTTGTTTTTATCAGACCAGTTGGTTGTTAGTATATTTTTATTAATTGTAAATTTTTTATTTTTACTATATTTACAATTATGTAGCTTTTCAGCTATATTGGCAGTCTGGCCTAAGCACTTTTGCAAATTGCACTAATATTATAATAATTTTTTGCCGAAACCTTTCGCGCATAAACAATTATTTATTTATTCGTAGAATTTGTCATTAGAGATAATTTCAACTGAAAAATTATTATCTGAGTCCTGGTCTGGGCCGTCCGAATTATTTTTTCAGTTGAGATAAATATTGATGCTCTTCTCTTCAGAAATTAATAATTAATATATAACAATAGAATATTTGATCGTCATCGAATTTCTTGAACCAAGAAATTGTTAATTGAGTAAAAGTATTTTTTTTTCTCAGTGTATAATAAACTATTTACCCTACTATAAATAATCTACCTTACTACCGTACTATCTACCTTACTTTAAACAAAAAAAATAAAAATAAATATGAGGAGAAAATTTTCTAACGATATCAAACCCTTATCTGTTTACTTAATCTAGAGAAAACCAAGCTGTGCATTACCATGGATGTATTTACAAATTATCAGTATAGCCGATCAAATAACCGCTTTAGTAATTTATTTAACGGCTAATTCGAATTTTAATAATAGCCATTCGTCACCTCTGCACTGGCATTCTTCACTGACCAGTATTTTTCTTTGTAAGTATATAAATTACATACTTTATTTAAACTCAAACTTGTAAATTTAAAAACAAATAAAAATATTATTTATTTTTTAGTTATTTCTGCTTACTTTTGGATGGTAGTGTTCTCAGCCCGTGAAAGTTGGCTGGAAAATCACATCCGTAGGACGGTTAATTTAGAGAATTTTTATCCGACAATAGAAGACAATTTACCACGTGATTCAAACATTCCTAAAACGCCGTCATATCTCGCACAAAGTGGGATTTTTTTGCAGCCTACGTCTGATAATTTTTACTCAAAGTCCAACGTAGTTTAATTACCCAAAATACATAACATATAATTAGTCTGACGTTAATTACCTCAGATTAATTCTATAGTAAGGCTCGTGACTTAAAATTGAATCCGTGTAAATAATATTGTCAAATAGCTCTCTTATAACAAGGTAAAGAATACCATAAAAATAAAATATGCCAGTCAAACTACTAGTTCTTTATCTATAGTGATTAGTGATTACTTTTTTGGTTTTAATTTAGTTAAAATTTTTGAAAATGTTATTAAATTTTTTGACTAATAATTAATAAGTTGTAAATTTATAAATAGATAATATTAATTGTAAATATTTTTGTAATATAAATGCCTATAAGTATGTATAAAAAAATGTAAATGATAAAATTTATAATATAATATAAATGATTATGACAGACGATAAACTCAAGTTCAGTGGCGCTTGAGTTTTTTTACAATTGAATGTATAAAAATATTGTTAGTCACGATAAATCAAGGCGGACATACAACTAATAGCGTGTATCAAATGTGCGTGATCGTTGAAGCATGATAGCATAGAAAATATGAGAAATGTCTGCGTTTTACGTCAAAATACTTTAAAATTTTTCAATCCTGTTATACAACGCAGTTCTGGCAAAATATTTTAAATGTTTACCGAATTAAAATGTAAATATCTTATAATCATTTAATTTAAATAATAAATATGACTTGTGATACTGTCAAATTTACAATAATACAAAAGATGAGTTTTTTAAATACATTATTTGCCTTTTGACAATATTAATAATAGTCATTCGTCATTAATTAATTATTATTAGCGTGCAAACAACTGATTTTTATACAAGATCATATCCTCGCACATGCCCCGGCTTATCTTATCAATTGTATCATTTTAGTGTAAATTTTAAATAAAATTATATTGTTAAACAATTCAAGCTTGCACTGTAAAAAATGTCTGATATTATCTTGTGAAGTGTGAATGATTTAATGCGTAAAAGTTTAATAAATAAATTAAAGCTTGATGCAAGAAGAGATTATTTCATTGCTTGTCTTATAAAGAAATTCGACTAAACAATAGGCAGCTATTCAGCCAAAGATTTTTTACCGAATTGTGTCATATATGACAATTCATTTTTGATTCATAACTGTAGATAATTTAGTTAAATTTAAAAATACTTAATCCAATCACTTTTTTCAACATGGTAGTTAATAATTGCAATTATCATTTTGATCTCATTTAAAATATTAATTTCTACTAGCAACCTTACAGTCACTATGTGACTGCCGGGACTTGTAAACTATAAATACATAAAATTTTGGTTTATTAAATAATGAATTTTGTTAAATTGCACTGTACTTTCTTAAATATTAACGTTTTTAAAGATATAAGCTCATCCGTATGTTACACTCATCAAGAGCTTTCATTTGAGTATCCACATGCATTTTTGATATATTTTTCATAAATATATGAGAAATTGATGTGGGTACTCAAATGAAAGGTCCCGATGAGTGTAACATCGGAATGAGCTTATATCTTTAAAAATGTCAATAGTTCACGAGATACAAGGTCATTTTTTAATTATGTTAAATTACACTGTACTTTCTTAACTATTGACATTTTTAGAGGTATAAGCTCATCCTGATGTTACACTCATCAAGACCCTTCATTTGAGTACCCACATCAATTTTTCATATATTTTATATATTTATATATATGAATATATGAAAAATATATTAAAATACATGTGGGTACTCAAATGAAAGGTCTTGATGAGTGTAACATCGGGATGAGTTTATATCTTTAAAAATGTCAATATTTTACAAAATACAAGGTCATTTCTTAATTATGTATCTAAAGATAGAGCATTTTATAATATAAATATGCTGGCCACAAAATTTTTTTTATTCTTTTAATAATATAGATTAGCAATGTTGAATTATGACTTTAAATTATTTCTTTGTTATTAAATAATCTGTATTTCATTAAAATAAAAAATTAAATTTTCTTATAAATGTATCTTGAACACTAATGGCTCTAAAAGAGCTTTGATTCCAAATAAGAGTCAAATAAAATTTTAAAAAATTTAACTACTTGATTTTTTAATAAATAAAATCTAAAAATAATTTTTTATATTCTCAAGCTCAACAATTTCCTTGATGATCCACACGTATGTCTTGTCAATACCACATCGTTTTATTATTCGTATCAGAACGATCAGCGCCGTCATGAAATGGAAAAACTTTATCAAAATTCATAGCCGGGTATATTCAACTCAGCTTGCTCTTACGTGTGTCATTCGCTGGTGATATCACCCACCGACATAACACAAGCTTACAAATATATATCTATGTATAATACAACCTGTACAGTACACAGATCTATATTCTTTATACCAATAGACAAGAGGGCTGAAGAGAGAGAGAGAGAGAGAGAGAACGAGACGCCGCGGTTGGTTGCTCGTGCTTTTAAAAAGAACTGAGCGAGTCAATTTGTAGTCTGTCGCAAACTTTTAAAACACTAGTTGACAACCTAACCAGTCTCTATCTGGTCTACTCTTTCTATCAAGTACCCGGGATTTAAAACTCGAGTTTCTCACTCTTGTTGAACTACTCCCAGTGCCTTGACATCCCTGTTGAGTCCACCCTCCGTGTCGCGGGAGCCGATGGATTGTAAAATAAAACTAACTTGGCTTTTTCGTGGCCTGGAAACGAATAGAAGTACCAGGACTAAATTTCATTCCCTCGAGACTCGAGAGCTTTCCGTCCTCTACTACCGTTTCAGCGAGAATCTTCCAACGAGAATCTTTTCACCACCACATCATCAAACCAAGTGTCTATGTCCAGTTCCAATAATAAAGAATAACTTTCCCGGAAAAGTTACAATTACCTTTGGACCCGATGGCGATACGATATAATACGTGGAGCAATGATAAAACTTACGGGTACAGCAAACATCTCGTAAATCTAAACTCGTCGTCTGTAGGTACACTTTGCTCCCTGGAACCCTGGAAAAAAAGTAACTGTTACATAGAAAAAAAGGTATAAGCTCATTCCGATGTTACACTCATCAAGAGCTTTCATTTGAGTACCCACATGCATTTTTGATATATTTTCCATATATTCATATATATAATATATATTTTAAAAATATAAGCTCATCCTGATGTTACACTCATCAAGAGCTTTCATTTGAGTACCCACATGCATTTTTGATATATTTTTCATATATACATATATACATATATATATATATAAATATATGAAAAATTAATGTGTGTACTCAAATGAAAGGTCTCGATGAGTGTAATATTGGGGTGAGATTATATCTTTAAAGATGTCAATAGTTCACAAGATACAAGGTTATTTCTTAATTATGTTAAATTGCACTGTACCTTCTTAACTATTGACATTTTTAAAGATATAAGCTCATTTCGATGTAGGCGACTGCTTGGCCGAGCGGTTTAAGTCTTATTAAACTGCCGCACAGCAGTCGCTCAGGCGTGGGTTCGAGCCCTGGCAATTGCAATTTTTCTTCTGCGATTTCCGGGGCTTGCTCCCTTGCCGACTGTACCTTGACCAGGTTTCTGTGGTTTTTCCTCGGTTGAGAGCAATAAACAATCCTGGTCAGATCTTTGACACAATACAATGTATCTATCAATGAAAGATTGTAGATAGTATGCATTAAGAATTATAATGAGTAAATAAAAGAATGACTTTGACTTTTGGCATGAAACTTTCAAACGAACGGTCTTTATTGATCCGCGATACTTGAGCGGAACTGAACGGTCCATAAAGCTAACCAATGCTAATACTTCGTATCTCCGCATTGGCGTCGACGTGTCCAGGGGGTGAGTTTTCGTTTGTATCTATAATAGTAATAGTAATAGTTAGTTGTAAGTGTAGAACAACACAGAACAGTATTCTGTAACCAAACTGAAAATGTTGGATCCTGTGGTATGGATAGTAACATGAAAATACGAGTATAGTCACCTCCTCCCGACCGGAATCCGCAATAAACGCGTAACCGAAGCTAATTCGTAATGCTGGCCCAGTCATTGTGTGGGTATTGTTGTGGGAAGCGAACAGAACTGAGAGTGCAAGGGCTTGTGGCCTCTATCCCCTGCGACTGCCCGATAACCATATAAAATACTATACCGAATGGATAATTTAAGCTCATCCTATAAACTACCCGGGTAGTTCACTTCTTTCTCTCTGATGTAAATCTTCTGCAGATAAAATATACTAAGCTAAAAGAATTAATATAAGGCCTACGTATCTAATATCTACAATAATAAAATACCTAATGTAACCCGGGAATTAATTAACATTTATATGTGAATATCCAGCTAAAGGAAATGGGGGTCCATCCGTTGGAGTTTCAATTTTATTTGTATTGCCAAAGAGGCCACTGGAATTGGCCGCTGAAATTTAAGCTTTAGATAAATGCCAACTACTTATTTATACACCGTTTTTTGTCATTTTTTCTTTTTTTTTTTTTTGGATTTCTCTTTTTCTTTTTTTGTAAGTCAGTGATAAAATACTGGCGACATAACATGAAGTAGCAAATAAATGTTAAGCGAGGGAGAGACTATTGCTTTTGAATTTATCTGGGGATGTTTATGGCACGTGTTGGGCTTTTTCCGCGACTACGAGGGAAATGGACCTACGGAAGTAAATTTGTGAAGGCGATGAACGATGGACAACAATAGGCCGCATTTAATAGTACATTGGTTACGACGGTCTGCGAACATAAACTCTCAACTCTCGGTAACACGGTACGGCCCATGATTTTCCTTACTCGGTCTATAGTCCAGAGGTTAACTTTATTGAGAAAAAGTAAGGGTAACGATGTGCACCGAGTAATACCGCTCGATCGGTTTTAGTTTGCTGTTCAGCAGTATTTCTCAATAATATAATACAATGCCAACCCAGGAAACTATCCGTCGCCAATTGTCCGTGCACCCGTCGATATTCTCCTTGGCTAATACTGCTGCTAATGGTAATAGTCCACACTATGGATTATATATACTC